TATATATATATATATATATATATATATATATATATATATATATATATATGATTTTCTAACAGTCCCAATCGTCTTCAACAACCTGGCGACCTGTCCAGGGTGTACATATACTAGTGGAGATAGATACTGGCCCCGCAGTGACCCTAACGGATGAAGCAGGGGAAGGTGGAGGTATCAATCAAGTCTCCCTGTTATGTAAGCACAGGACATTTACCAAATTGTCCATTTTTATTGTGTCAATATAAATTTAAACCCAAGAGACATGTTATGATGTGATGTTTTAGCTTATCAGGATTTTCCAACCACATTTCATAAAGGTAAAATAATCCAGTTGGCTTAGCCAATGGCATAACTATCGGTAAGCAGAGTATGCAGTTGCTTAGGGGTCCCGTCACTGACACCTGGTAGGCCCCCTACACAATTTTGGACTAGGACGTCTCTTTGCAGATGTAATGGTGCAAAAAATTCCTCTATAACCTCTATTGATGCTTCAAAATATGACTGGATCATATTTATACCCCAACACATGGCAGATTTCAACATGATGGTGAGCCGTTTACACACGACACCAATAGCAAAGCAGACAGTGGTGCTTTTAACTACTATGTTAATAATTGTGCATAATTCATTAGACAGTTGGTAAAAAAGACACTCATATAATATTTTTCAAACCGCAATAAAGATCTTAAAAGAACGATGTATTTGAGTATTTTATTTCTTACACTACAACTTGGAATTATGGGTAACCCAGAGCATAGATTAAACGCATAACTGTTATGTACAATGTGTTAGCGATGATGGAAACCAAAAAGAGGTATTTAAGAGGATTCCAGAAAAGCAAAAGCAAAGAAGAGCTGCTGGAAGAACAGAAAAAAACTTCCCAAAACAAACACGTTCTTTCAAGGAATCAAAGAGGGAGAGGTGGACGTTGCTGCAACAGTGAGTAAAGATTGCGGCCAGTAGATGAATGCAGAGAGTGTGGGTGAGGAGGGGGGCTGTGAAACTCAAGGTAGCCCTATAAGAGTCATTTTGCTGTAGAATATACTAAAGTATATCCATGTCTAGTGAAGATGAAGGGTGATGAAATGATGAAGTCTATGGCAGCAGCGGTGGGGGTGGTGGAGTGTGGGGAGGGGTTGTTATACGTCATATGGGGCCCACCCAGATAATGTTGCTTATGAGCCTATTGTTGTGTCGTTACCCCATTGGGCTTAGTCCATCATAATGTGACACGATGTATTTTGTAAAGACATGAAATTCTGATGTTGACTTAAAATGTTAAATTTATGCTGTATTTAGGCTGACATTTGCAAACCCTTTAACAGTTCCTTGATTGTGTGGTTTGCGTCATCAACACCCGGAGGCACTAAACTGTCTATTATAACCGTATATCACTACTTTTCATGCTTAAATTGATGCTTTGCATGGCTGTCGTGTCTTTCAGAGTGAGAGCCATGGTGGTAAAACTTGATAGGGTAGCACAGGTTACCAGAACATGACTGTCTGGGACTTAAGTGACCTGCTGCACTGCACTTTCACATATCCAGACCACAATCACCTAAAATGGCCAGTCAGTTTAAATAGGAATAAATTGCATGGGAAAAAAAATATACAATAGCTTAAAGTCCATCATACCTATGATAATAGAGAGAGTATCCACAGTGCTAAAAGGGGTAAAATGAGCAGACACTTACAGTGTATCCTGAATCAGATTAATGATAGTGGCTCAGTTAGAAAAAACACACATCATGTTCTTACCTCAGCACATCGTGACTGCGTTTGCCCGGGGGTCATTATTATGTTTGTCAACACAAAGAAGGAATTATCTCCCTGTTGTACAGAGGTTCAAGGTTTTATTCACACAATTATTTCCTAGTCATATATTTGACAGAATCATACAAATTAAAAAAATACCTGAGGGGGGATAATGTAATCAGCCACATCCCAGAAACGAGGCTCCATATCAGATATGTTGGTGTAAGCAAAGCCTTTCACCTTTGTGGTGACAGAACTACTGACAGAGTCTGTCTCCTGGTAGGCTTTCTGCACCACACACACATACCTGCAGCAGGCAGGAAGACTCAGATTGTCCAGGCTCTTAAAAAGCATTCAAACTTGATCTTTTCTTTTTTTTTTTTTTTGTACTCACCCGACCACATACAGCACCACCAAGAACTGTGTGAACCTGAAGACAAATCCTACACGTATGCTGGGAATAACCAGAGTTTTTGGTGTTTCATAGTCAAAGACATAATGTAGAAAGTCCTGGCAGCAGCCTGTCGACTTGCTCATGGTTGCACAACATACAATAATGAAGTGAGCATCATGATAAACGGACAATTGCTCCCTTTATTCAAATCTTTATATTCAAATAATATCGGCTGGAGACATACTACGCCTAACAGCGGAGTGTCAGGTGTGTTTAAACGGGACTTGTTACATTTGCCTCTTTATCTCTAACTGTGCTAAAACCTTTGAGAAACAGATGTTTGGAAAAATAAAACATCACTAATTCTAATTTTCTGCTTTGGCAGTGAAACTGTTTTAATGCAGAAAAGGTTTTCGAGGAAAAATAGGAAATATGGAAGCCATAAAGGTAAAATTTTAAGTCAAATTTTGCAATTAAACAAAAACAAAAAAAGGCAAATTATAAAAAAAATTTTTATGAAAATTGTCATTGACTGGAGAGGAATTTCTTTTTAGGTCTTAAAAATATATAATATTGTAATGTCATACTTTTACATTAAAGTGAAGCAGAATTAAACGTTTCTAAGATTTCAAAAGGATCCTGCAGAATAAACCACTTCTTATATTTAGAAGACACATACATTATATTAATTATAGTTTCAAAAGCCCTGATATATCCCTGGCTTATTAAACTGGTTTACTCTTGAAAAAATGCCTTTATTATTTACATTTTATAAATCAGGTATGGCTGCACAGGGCAGTGGTTAGCACTGCTGTCTAGCAGCAAGAAGGATCCATGATCCAGGATCCATTCCTGGCCCGGGGTCTTTCTGCATGGAGTTGTTCTCCCTGTGCATGTATGGGTTCTCTCTGGGTATGCCGGATGTAAATCAAACTTCTAGATATTGATAGATTCAGGAATAAAGGTCAAACCATCACCATTCTAATCAAGCTGGTGATTATGATGCCAGTAGCTGCACAGCATAAACGCAGCTTGGTTTAGCCATCAAAAAGGAACCCCAACTCTTTTATCACGCCTGCCAACCACAAAGATTTCCAGTGAAAACAATGAACTAGAAAGTGTTGAGCGCTTTGCATACCCTGGCAGTCATCTTCCATCAAAGCCAAATAATGGAAATTACATACATCAGCACTTTAGTTGTGCCATTCCAACCTTCCATGTGTTACACATCCCCTATGCAAAACAATGCATGCAGCATTTGAGCACCCTGCATAAAACTCATTGTATAACATGTGAACTATGTTCCTCTGGAAGCCACCCATGACCGGAGAGCAAGGCTGTCTCTCAAACATGCAAAAGGAAGGCTGCACCTCTCGTCTCCTCCGTAGATACTTGGGTAAAGTACAGCATATACAATAAAACCATTCTAAAAATGACTCCCCACACATTTACATGTAAACTTCTGATACTGTACAGTGAAACACCAAGCCTGCCCACAGATCAGCACACAAAATTACAGCTTAAGCCTATACATATTGATGCTGCCCAGTCTGTGGTTTAAAAGTAGAAAATAAATCATGAAAACTAATTCCCCTTTTACTGAGGTTTTCCCTTGTTATCACTTAGCATTTTGAAGTTGATCCTAGTTTTTAAGAACTTTTTGCTTCCCTGATCTCACCTAGAGGCTGTTTTATTAAGCTGGATGAGGATGTAAAAAAATGTTGGTTAGAGAGCTGCAGCAAACAGCTGCATCTTGAGGTCTACAAGTCCATATGGCAGCATGGGGGAAATATTTTAAGACCATTAATGCAGACATGCTTGGCTCGACTGGTATGTTTCTTTATGCTTAACATGTTAATAGCACCTTCATGCATGTAGATCCATTGACTTAACAAAAGCATGTAAAAACAGATCCTCTGACCTCTTCAGTAGAGGGGTTTCGAATTAGCCATTACTAGAAAACACTGTGATGCAGGCATCAGATTATTTTTAGGTATGTGTCCCTATCAAAGAAATAAGAATTGTTCTCTAAACTTTTTCTCTGTGCTTGGCATATAACCTCTCTAAGAGCAGTTTTAAAACCAATTAACACTTTGACCCCAAAGACAGAAGACATTTTCCAATTTTTACAGAACAAAATCTTATAATGTACATCTTATAATTTCTTGCCCTTAACAGTTTGAGCTGCTAAAACTGTTATTTAGTGCTCTATCTGCAAACCCTCCTGTTGATCATTTATTTTTAAGATATTGTACTTATATGCTTCCAATTAGTAGAATAATCAGACATTATTGGATGAATTTCCACTGCTAAACTAATAAGACTGTTTAATTTAATTTGTTTGAGCTTTATTTGTCCATAAATCCTGTTGAAGCTAACCCATTTCATAGAATACATGTCCTGAAGACATAAAAAACTGGATGACTCTGAACTCTCTGATTTTGAATGCAGAACCTTTAGTCAATCACTTCATCTGGAAAGGATTAAACTGATCTCAGATAATAATGTAAAAGAAAATCTTAGAGAACATCTAACTTTGCAGATAGATGTATTACTCAATCTTATTATTACCTATTAATGTTTGTACGAAAGGGTAACCACTAGATGAGAAAAAAAAAGATTAAATGTATTTAATCAAAAGTTTCAGAAAGCTTTTCGGCACAAAAAACAGCAAAGTATATATAAGATTTTACATGATTCTACATTGACAACTAGCTGGAGCTTTTACCTTATTCAGGGTTTTTCCCTGACCTGAGACTCAATAACTACACTATAATATTTAGTTAAACTAAGATTTATTATGATTACCAAATCCTCCAATAATTTATTTCAGCAGTCATTTCAACCAGCATATTCAGCTCATAATGGCCAGGGCAGAAAAAAATGCATCTTTAATATTTGACATCTCTTATTGTGATATATAAAATAAGCTGGAAATGTGCTTTTGTTAGATGAGACTGAGCTTTTCAGAAGTTAATAGTCCAGCTGGGTTTGGCTTAAGGTAAATATGATAATCCAGCACATGATCACTACAAAGTAGAACCTGTGTTATACTTTGGGCCTGTTTCTATTTAAAAGCCCTGGGAACCTGGAACATTTGGCTTTTTTTTAAACAACGTAATTTTGATTTAAAAAAAAAAAACTTATTCTGAAAAGATAAAGACAATCAACACAAAATGCTAAAGTAGATCCCTCCCTTGTCAGAGCTGAGCTGTAGACAGGAGGGGATAAAGGGGACCCAGGAAAGATTGTGTAAGGAGGTCAAAGTCAGCTCTTCTAGCATGTTTGACCTTCAGGAACCTGATATCAGAAATCTTATCTTTTCCAGGTACACAGATTTTTTTCCCTATTTGATTGACTGTACTCAGATGTTAGGTTAAAATTGTTTGCAATGTTTAGTGCAGAGGTGGATAGAGTACCCAAAAACTGACTCACGAATAAAACTACTTAATCATATTTTTACTCACATGAGTAAAAAGTATTTGGTTTAAGGCTACCTAAGTACTGAGTAACTCATCCATCACATCAGGTACTTAAAGTTATGAAAAAAAGACTAAAATTAAATGTCATATGTAACGTCTGGTATTTTAAAGACTATAATAAAATTATTAAAACAAATATTGTTATTGGAAAAAATATACATTTTAGGGCAAAGAAACACTTTTCCAAACCAGTTTTCTAATAAACATTAAATGCATGAATCTCCCAGTGGCAATATTTATACTTTACTGTGTATACATTTGACCATTATGATATGGTAGGTTCAAGTAAGCTTCTGTACAAAAAAAAAACTGATTTTAACAAAAATGGTGACTGTGTGTCTTTGCATGGAACACTTAAAAAGAAAAAGGCTTGTTCTTCGCAATTCACTAGATGTAGCCAAACATTTTACTCAGGTTTTAGTATATATGAGAGTGCTTTAAGATATTATTTAAGAAAAAATGTGCAGTAAAACAGATACTCAAGTAAATGGAACTGAGTAAATATAACTGTACTACCCACCTCGAGTCCAGTGTGAGATTTGCTTACTTTTTATTTCAGTATTTTTTTCTTAAAGTCCTTTACCAGGAATTAAAAAAAAACACCCTCACAATATCACTGAAAAGAAAAATGAAATGTTTAAAAGTGATAATGCTCATACCTTTATTTGTATTTCATATTAATGCATTTAATATTTTCACTGAGAACTTTAAATGCCATGACCAAAAAAAAAAGACAATGTTATTTTGGTCCAACTGTACATCTGATACCGAGTCTATAGAAAACAGCTCAGGTCATACAAACAGATTCTACCTCCACAAACAACAAAACATCTCCAGAACAATATTTTAGTACCAACAAGCTTTCAAGTTGCTTCTGCTTATGAACATCCTGTTGACATATTAATACAGACAATAAAGATCAGCTACAGATGTTTAACACAACATACAAACAGATACTGTACATGTTTCTGTTGATTATTTTTTTTTTTTATGCAAGACACAACACACAGAGCAGGATTCACCAGAAGACTTAGTCATTAGATTTGCGGTTCAGTGTTTAAGTTTCAAGTATGACACAAAGGCATCTGCACTACATTGTTCTGAAAAAAGGGAAAAATAAAGTTTAAAGCAAAACTATCTGGTTTGTATTCACAAAGATTTTCAATCCTTTCAGAGAGCTCCTAACCAGTGGCGCCTGCAGAAATGTTTAATAGAGGTGGCCAGATGGGGCCACTAAAAATCTTGGGGTGGCACACTGAAAACAGAAGCCATAATTTTAGGGTTTGAATATACTATTGTATATACTATATACTATAAACATTTTGCATTGAAGATAAAAAAAAAATGATTTTTCGTCTGTCAATATGCAAGTTTTAGTTTCACCTGATTTACGTTCACAAAAAATCTTTTTTAAGGAACCTTTTGCTATCCGATTATTATTGATTACTATTGTTAATGCAAAATAATTGTTAGTTGCAGCCCTAGTCTAAGTGCTATCAAGATGGAGGCTTGGTGTTTATCACCCTATTTTATTCATGAATTCTTATTCTTAATATTATCAAATGGTTTTGAGTATTTTTTTTGTCTAGACATTTAACGTAACTATATTCCTATAAGGCTTTGTGAATACCTTTATCACTCCGGGGTAAAATTCTGAGAAATGACTTGGCATTCAGGAAGTTTTAAGATTTTCCCTCAAGTGACATCATCATGTATTTTCAGTTTTAGGATTCTTTGTGAATATAGACCTTGGACCTCCGTTCTGTGGTTGCAAAACCTGCAGACTGTCACCAGTATACAGTAAAATACAACAGTCCTTTGTAAAGAAGCCATGGGGAAGTGCAGATATGAATAAATTCCTTTTTTTTAAAAGCATAAAGTCAACCACAGTGACGATCTTTGAGAACTGATCACCTATATCTGAAGAAATAAGATCATTGAAAGGTATTCTACATTCGCCCAAAATCAAACTCCAGGCCGCTCTCATGCAGGCTGCCTTCATTTGCGTTATCAAAGCTGTTCTTGCCGTGGATCTGTTTGAGGTGCTTTCGTAGCACAGGCTTGTGAGCAAACACCATGTCGCAATAGTTGCAGCGGTGCGGCTTGTCCCCACTGTGCAAGTTTAGGTGATCCAAAAGTGAACACTTCTGGGTGAATGTCTTGCCGCATATTTTGCACTGGAAGGGCTTGATGCCAGCATGGACGCGCATATGTCGGTGCAAGTTTCCCTTCTGGGTGAAGGTCTTCCCACACAGGAGGCACATGAACAACTTATGCATCTTGAGGTGGTTGGCATAGTTCTCCAGCTGGCGGAAGACCCTGGCACATTTAGGGCACTGGTGATACCACTGCAGCGGTTTGTCATAGTTCCTCTGGTGTCCGCTGTGCTTCTCCGTGGGCGGGGACGAGGGAGGGGGGCTAAGGGGATAACCGGCCATGTCAGGTGGGACTGCTGTCTCGCTGCCACGGCTGTCCACAGTGGAGTTGATGAGCGAGTGTTGGGGCTCGGGGGAGTGCAGCGCAGCGGGGGGGCTGGCAGAGAAGTGACCAGTGATGGTGTTTTCGGTGACATCATTTACAGACTCCACTTTCACTATGGTGATGTCATTTTCCACCAAACCTGGCCTTGGACGCTTCCTCCAAATCTGGACAGGGCTCTTGGGTTGTATTATTACATCATCATCCTCATCATCTTCATCATCACTCTCAACATTGTTTTCTCCCTCAACCTTTCCCATAACTACTGTTTCATCCTCCTCGTCCTCCTCATCCTCCTCCACTCCCTCAGGTACGGTCCGCACCTGAGTACGCTCAAGCTCCCTCTGAGCCTGGGAGGAGGAACCTTCCCCTCCTTTCTCTCTCCTTGTTTCCACATCCAACTCCAGCTGGCGGGAGGCCTGAGGTTTGATGAACTTGTTGAGGGCCTGGGTGCACTGCTCCACAATGTGGCCCATTTGGAGAAAGCTGGCCACTGTCAGGTAATGCACAAGCTCCAGTTCAGGAAACTCCAGCTGGCCGGTGTAACAAGAAAGCAGCAGCTGCCTGCCAACTTCTGCCTCTTGGATCATAGAGATCTGGACCTCCTTGGAGTCCTGCTGTAAAATAAACTGGTCCCTCAGGAAGGACGAGCCAGCAGCAAACACTACTTTATGACCAGGAACCTCTAACTGGTTGATGCGGACAATGACGTCACAGAAGCGTCTCTGGTGTCGAAGAAGATTCATCTTCTGCAGCATAGAGTCTCCAAACGTGGCGAATCTGAACTGCAGGATCACCTGGTTCTGGGCCATAGTGAACCACTTGGCAGCAGCAGAACAACTAGTGAGGAGAAATACAAAAGACTGCAATAAATATCCAATTTGAATTATCAACACAATACTAATATGTAGGGCTGTGAATTGGCAAGAAGTTGTCAAGCTGAATAATAGAAGGGGTATAGTTTACGTCAGCCAATCAAGTGACATTCGTGATTCCGACTCCTTGGAGGGCAAAACAAACCTTGAAAAAAACTAGAAACTATTGGAGTTTTTTTTGCATATTATATGGTTGTTCTGCAAAGAGGTCTGCACATGCAATTAATACTCCTACGAGAAGCTTTACTTCATACAGATAATAAAGTACTCCTCGTGGGCATGTTGAGCATGTTACGTGTATAAAGAGTACCAAGGGGCACCCAATATATCACATACGCGTACTTGTTCCTTCTTGCTTCTTTTCTCCCTCTTCCTTGCGGTTGGACCTGTTTCTGTGTGCTCATGTCAATTTCTGACACTTTGAAGGCGTTACCCACCAGACAAAGCAACATGCCTGGGATTGGGTACGTTTTAGGTAATTTCTCAGCTTTACTTGTGACACGTTGCCCAGATAACCAGCATAAACTGGCTGTTACTCTTTTCACAAGAATGTGAGTGAGGACTCGTGTCCTTGCCAAGTATGTTATTGAGATGAGAACAGGAAAATATGGACTCGGGGAGAACGGGAGCACACAACATAAATAGAACAGAAGCGTACTTGTGACGTCACCACACGTCTGGAGCTGCATTTCACCTCCTGTTATTAATAGTCTCTAGATAATAAATTATTACTTCCTTCATTTAGTGGGAGAATAATAGTTAACACAGTCAGATAAACACAAATAAAATGAACATTTTGCCAAAAAAAACAAACAAAAAAAAAAAAACGCTATGCCGAGAGAGGGCTGCTGCAGATGGGCAAAAATACACCCTGGCTGCGGTTAGGCTCGGAGGTCCACTGGTGGCCGCGGTCCTATCAACATCAGGACTTTTTTTTTTTAATGATGCTCTAAATCAGTAAATATACTGAAAGCTTAAAAGTATAATGTTCCTGCCTCAAGTTATCTGAAAATGTACTTTTATAGAACAACAGAAAAGAGAACTTTTAACTTAATACTCTGAGCTCAGTGAGCACTGCCCTGGAAGATGCAGCTGCCGCAGTGCATGCTGGGACAGCTGTCATTCTCAAAAATGGACAAGTCTGCTCTGATGCATACTCGGTAAAGAGGGAAGGGCAAGAATTATACCCGGGGACTTTGTCTGTTCTCGGTCTTCTTGTGAACTGGAACAGTACTAGGGCTGAGGCTAATAACGTTTTTCAAGTATCATCCTGTTTCCAGCTAACGTTTGAGTTAGCAGAAACTATCAGGCTATATGACGGGAACTTTTTTTGTAGGTGTGCTATAACCCTTTTTTTTTTTTTTTTTTTACATCCTACAGCCAGGCAGAATCCAGCTTTGATCCAGACCATGTTATATCTAATAATGACTTTGCTTACCAACTTCTAGAGAAGCAGTTGGCCTGAAGCTGCTTTGCTAGTAGGAAAAAGGGTGCAGCCTCAAGAGGTGGGATTTCCTGAAAAGTAGCCAATCAAAGGCAGGTTGCCTTGTTGGGTGGGTAACGCCTTCAAAGTGACAAAAGTTGACATGAGAACATAAAAAAATGTTAACACACGAAGAGGAGGTAGGCTGCACACGCATGGAGATAAACACACACATGATTTCCACATGTGTAAAGAAGGAAGAAGCACTGCAGTACTCCAGGTGGGGGTACTGCAGTGGAAAAGTTAATGGGTGATATATCCATCCATTCATTTTCTGTCACGCTTATCCCAGAGTACACCCTGGACAGGTTTCCATCGCAGGTGTGAAATATAATGATGCTCTATTTACACATGTAACATGATAAACATGCATATGAGGAAGATAGTGTCTGTATGAAGTAAAGCTGCTTGTAGGCATATTTAAAATAATAATAATAATATATAACATTAATATTAGCTTAAAAACACCTATAAAAACATATTAAACAATCCCATACTCAGCATGTTGATTTACCAACTGATAAGGAGGAAGGCATCTAATTCCCTAAAGACCCAGAAAGGCAAGCGACATCGGTGGCTGCTGTGGAGAGACACCCCTGAAACCAGCTACAACTGGCAGAATTTGCAGTGATAACTTCATAAACAGTTAGTTGTTATGCTCAAATCATTTTTCTTGTTTTTTTTTTTAACATTTAAACAGATATGCCTCTGACATGGGTCAAAAACAAGACCAGAGTTTCATCTTTTTGCAGGGTTTCACCCAGCTATCATAAACCTGGAGGGAGGCCAGGATTTTCTCGCGCCCCCGCTAGGATGAGCGTCATCTTTACATTTTAAATGCATCAATATTTGAGTGAAATAAAACTGAATGAGGTTCCAGTCTGTGAGAAAAACTCCCAGTCCGAATAGCTAACAGGCTATTTGTTATTATAACCTAACACATAGTATGTCCACAACACGGCTGCTTCCAGCCGCATGACACAGTTCTAATTCACTTGGTATACACGAAAAGGCTTTCTAAACTTTCTTAAAAAGGGAGATTGGATATTTAGCAAATAATTGTATAGGTTACAGTGGGTGAAGTCGGGGATGTCTGACGGATAGTCTGGTATTGGTAAAAAACAAGCAAGCAGGCAAATTATATGGATCCTGCACTCCAACAAGAGAACTTTTTGCTATAAAGTGCTGTTTTAACATCTATAGACAATTTTGGGTTATCTGATTCTCCACTCATTTTGAATTATATCTCCCTCTACCATCAGGTGGCACGCAGGGATTTTTAATGCCGTACAGCATGGCAGCGTAAAAGCGGCCACGTAAATGCAAACCAGCTGCTGGAGGTTAAACAGTTACAGTAGAAGTAAGAAAAAGTCATGGATGTTACCTACAAATATTTTATTTTATATTTAAGATCCATTCTGCAGTGTTCTAATAACTATATCTGCTCATGGACTATTACATCATTGGACATAGTCTATCTTTTCTAACACCCCTACTACTGTGATATCACTACCTGATAAGGTATTAGCGTAAATCATGCATATTTTTATTACTCAGTTCTTAGAATGAAGAACAATAGACAAGGTAAAAATAAAAATAATATTCAAACAAGGAACAATAGTCAAAAACTAAACTAAAGGTAAAAGAACAACTTACCAATATCTTTTTTAATAAAGGGTTACATAAATCATTAGTAGAGTTCTTCCATCAGTCTGAGATATTAGATGCAGGCTGCAACATACATTGTGTTTTTTTGACTATCTGAGTGATGTCTGCTATAAATACTGGACTGGGATATCGCTAATATATTCATCAATCTACTAGATTTGTTTATCATTTAAGTTTAAAGGAATATTTGCTCAATCTAATGTTTTATTAAACATTATTACAAACTTTTAATTAAAAGTAATGTCTTTTAATAGATGTGTGTGCAGCATGCACACTTTTGTGATCCAAGGCATGTTGGATAAAAACTTTTCTCATATCTTTAAATGGACACAGATGTACATTTTACATTCTTCTTTTGTTTTTACTGCCTTTCTTTCCTAGATGTTTGTTTACAAATTACTGTTTAGAGCCAAACCACGTTACCACCACTGCACTAATGAAGAAGAGCTGTTCGGGGACTCAAAAGAGTCTCGGTTCCTATTGGGAAGATGAGCCAACTGGTGTGGATCTCGGAAAGAATCCTGCAATTCTCATCGTCACAATGTGAATTAGCCACACATATAAACATAATATTAGACATTGGTGAACAAAAGGCGCCAGCGGAAAGCTGTGATGCACTAAATGATTGGAAATAAAGCAGCTGTTGTTGACAGCTTCAGTCTTATTGAACGTGTTCTGTTCTTCTTTCAAACCTGTTTTTCGATGTCCGAGCACATCTGAAAACTAGCTTATCAGTGTAGCTAACGGAACGCTCGCGCTCACTTCCTATTGAGGAAAACATGCTTCCCTAGAACGTTCCCGGCAAAATGACACAAAAATCATCCAGTTTGAAGTAACCGGGGTTTTAAAGATAAAACAACATGCCTGAAATCACTCAAAGAGCCCCGGTAAAGGCCTACTCAGTAGCATTGCGGCTAACAGCTCAGGTGGCTCGCGCGATCATTGCAAACAATGCATCCTTTCCGCCTTCAATGCAGCTTTTAGCTGTTATAAAGCGATGTTTACAAACTACCTACTGGTTACCAACCTAGTTGTTACTGTGTTGTTGTCGGCAGGATCCTCGCTGTGACCTCCTGTGGAAAAGAGGAAGCTGCTCCGGATGCAAAACAATTAAAGGCCCAGTACCTGTGGACCATTTTTTTTTTTTTATAGCGAGTCACTGTGGACAGTCAGTGTGGACACAAAGCTAAAAGAATTTGATTAACACTGTTGGATAGCACAGCCAATCAATCAATCAATCAATCAATCAATCAATCAATCAATCAATCAATCAATCAATCAATCAATCAATCAATCAATCAATATATATATATATATATATATATATATATATATATATATATATATACGTTACACTCTCTAAATTAGAAACACAACAGCAAACAAAGATAACTGAAATAATTTACGGGTAAATTTGTGTGCTGTTTTTCTTTTTTCTTTCTATCTATCCTCTGTTCCTCTGTATCTCCATTTTAAAACCTAAAAGTGAACTTATTTTTTAAACATATTGAAAGTATAAGTATTTGCTTAGGCCATGGCCTGAGTAAATATTTTGTGCAATACATATTAGAGAAGCCTTATCTTTCTGATTTCTAAGAAGCTATTTCCCAGTGTGAGACATTTGGAAAGGGAGCCAGACTCCTTTTGTTCAAGGTTATTCAACATCCCTCTGTTTGTTTCACACTGTAGGTACCCTGTTTTGGTAAAGTTCTATCAAAATCCACCCCAGCTGCTGGTCTGAGTGTTAATTAGGGAAACCTTTTTTTTTTATCAGGCCAGAACATTGGCTAGAACTGCATCTGTCCTTCCCTGCAAGGATTACTAAATACTGTTTAAATGAAGACCACCAATCCCATTGTTGTTGAAAAAGACTAAGACCTTTTTTCCAATAACACTTTAAAAATAGTTTGATATAGAAAAGCTAAAGAAGACTGTTAGTTGATATGGACTATATTCTTATTCACAACAGGGTGGATTTTATTCATTTAGTATAAATGCTAGAAAGTTGTCTATCTCCCTCATGGACGGAGCAAAGGAGGAATCTTGCAGGACCCCTGGGATAAAGGAAATGTGAACTGAAGCGGAAAACACTGGTTACAAGGTCAGGGGCTGATCGTCAGCTGGTAAAGAGGCAAGTGCGTACAAACACTCACTAAAACTACAAGCTATAAATTTCTGAGCAGGTAAGATCCAGTGAAGCCAGCGTCACTCCAGTTGCGTTTGCCTTTTTTTATATCCAATACTGCAGTGCGTATAGAGAGACCTCTACTATGCAGAGCGAGCAGATCCTGATCTGTGCAGATTGTGTTTTTCAGTTCTGTCCCAGTGCCCCACAATATGGACCCTTACCCTTATGATTTGGCCTATAAATATCACTACAAACAACAGATGGTGAAAAACCCTTTCAAGGAAATTAATGCAGCTTTCATATCTGACACAGAGAGGTTTTAAAATGTCTTGGCCCTATCTCAAAGAATTTTTCGAAACAGTCGAAGAATTGAGCTTTTAATTCATATAGTGGCATCTGGCTGTTTTTTTAAAGGTTACTTTATNTTTCTTTCTTTCTTTCTTTCTTTCTTTCTTTCTTTCTTTCTTTCTTTCTTTCTTTCTTTCTTTCTTTCTTTCTTTCTTTCTTTCTTTCAACATATGGCATGGATTTTTTCAATCCATCCATAAATATTTTACTAATATGTCTTTTTTTTGCATTATTCTTTCCAGATGTTTTTTTTTTCGATTTCAGAATATTTTTGATGAATCATAATAGCACCTGGTGTCAAATATGATGACATTTTTTAAGTTAATGAAAACGTTATATAAAGGGAAGTGGTATTCATAATATCTTCATATTATGTCGAAATTCAGATAATTATAACGTCAAAATTAATAAGAATCGAACCAGTAATTATTGGAAAACAATCATTTATTAGATTTGAGTGTTGTAAATTACAATATGTGAATTAAGTATTTACAGAATGCACAGCTTGCAATCATTGTTACTCCCACTATGAATGTAGAGGCTAGGCTGTGCGGGCTACGTCTTGTTTACACACCTAAAAGAGAACATAGAATAAAATTAATTTCCAAGTTAGATGGCTTACCTTAACTTTGCAGATTATACACATTTCTTTGTGGAAAATACAAAAGCTGCATTCTCACTGTAGCTAAGAATTACTTGGATAAGAAAAGTCAGAATAATGTAAAGGAAACAGCTAATGGCCATGAATACTTTAAAAAAATATATATTTCATTAGCTATAAAGATTGTTTTAAGCTTAAAACAGGAAAAAGCCTCCTGTTTAACTAGAGTCAGACAAAAACTGACTTTAGTTAAACAGAATAAAATATGAGACATTAAAAAGAAATGTGTCCTCATCTTCTTTTACTCCTGTTGTGACCTCCTGGATGAATCATTCATATTCTATTGGAGTCATTTTGGTCCACTGGCCATATGGGGCCGCCTTTTACAGCTGCTTTTTGTATCTCTGCTTCTGTCTCCTTGAACCCCAGCAGCTCACACTGAGTCTGGTTCTGCTGGAGGTTTCTTCCTGTTAAAAGGGAGTTTTTCCTCCCCACTGTCGCCACAATTGCATCCGAGTCAATGAGTCTATGCAATCACCTGGTTTTCCTTAGATAGAAAACTTTGAAAAAATTTGACTGTATGAAGTGCCTTGAGATGACGTGTGTTGTGAATTGGCGCTATATAAATCAACTGAATTGAATTGAATTACTAACATATTCATACACAAACCCAACCAATCTTTACATTCCAATGTATTTTCTTAATGTTTTTTGAAAATGCTGTATGAAGAACTCATAATTTTAAATTGTAACAGAAACAGAAGAATAGGAAATGAATGTTTTTAAAAACTTTGGTACCATTAAATATTAATTTATAAACTGCAATAAATATTGTTCTAAATTAATTTTAGTGAGAGAAAAAAAACTATATTGTTCATACCAAGCTAAGCGGTATCCTACTAACGAAACCAAGGCAGCCACTGCTACACATGCAGCAGCAGACAGCGATGTCACCCTCAGAACGTAAGATGTGCCTGGAAAAAACAAATACATTTTGATGAGTAAATAACATCAGATTATGTTGCTGTTTTTGTGCATTCTGCATTTTAAAAAACTAGGTTGTCTTCATGTGTAGGATCAGCAAATAAAGTCAGGTACCTGCTACTTTAGCCCAAAGCACACAGCAGCTTCTCGACATCTTGGAGAGAAAACCCTCAAAATAAGTCAGCTGTTTAGTTCTATTATTTGCAATGTTGTATGAAGTTATTTCAACTCACCGTTTTCCACTGACTGATAACTCTTAGGACAATAAAGTAGGTGTTACCACTCTCCAGTGGAGCATTATAGAAGCCACCATAGAGGAATCCATCTCCCACAGTAAAGTTCACATCCGTCGTCAGATTCTGGACAACAAGCTGGGCAGTCATGTACTCAGCTGGTGATTGTGTTATGCTTGAATTTAGGCTTCGTGGAGAAGAGCAGTCAAACAGCAGAGTCTTCTCGACAGGAAGCACAAAGATTTGGTAGAAACTGCCAAATCAAAACCACAAAATGCAAAATTTGATCTTCATCTTTTGCTATAATTTTCAAGTTACTAGCAAACAGATTGTTCTTTTTTCCAGACATTCATATGTCTGGAAAACAGAATGGATCATTCTAACAACTATCATTTTACTATCTCTGCTATTAACCTACTAGTCCCCGAAAAGTAAATGACCCAACATTTAATTAACATTAATATTTGTAATCTAAGAAGGGTGAAGCACTTTATTGTTTTAGGAAATCTTTGACTCGGAGCCGAGCATAATCTACAACTTTGAGAGTGCAAAAACAGACATAAAGATCATATTTACAACTCCTGTAACAACCACTGTGCAGCTATATTATAGTTTTTTTATTTATTGACTGTGCAATATTCTGTGCAATATGCTGACTGTGCAATATATGTGAATATAATAGTCATACCACTACCTCACCATTGTTCCTTACCTAATACACTTTCATGTAAAAGTCAGTCCACCTGTATATAAGCCATCCTGATTGTACATATGACACCTCAAATCTGTGTTACTCCCTTGTTTTTTTAAATTTCTTATTTTATTTTGTTTTTCACTGTGTGTGATACATGTACACTTGCACCTTAATCCTTATTTATCTTGATATACTGTATATACCTTGATATACTGTATATTTATTGTTTATTCTTAATGCACCTTTTTCCTCCTTGTTTGCACCTTCTTTAATTACTATGCCAATATGTGACCAGTGAATTTGTCCGCTGTGAGATCAATAAAGCTCATCTAATCTAATCTAATTTATTGTTAAATTAAGTTAATCAGCAAATTAGGAGACAGAATGTGATATAAATGAGTCTGGTCACTTACTATGACTTTAAGAATTTCTAGGCCAGAAGTTTAGTCTAACAATATAATAGTTTAGATAAAATTTATGCAAATCTACATCTTATGGAGGATCTGTGTCAAGACTTTGCAGTCACTCTTGCAACCTAACAATTATTTTACTGCCCACCCAATCGGCATAGCTGGTTTGTGTGTCTGCTGTTGTGAAGACAGTTCTGTGACGGAGCTGATGTATATCTTGTGACAGGAAAAGCTAATCACTGTAGAAAACCCCCATATATAAGTACTGATGTGAGCTCCAGTATCCTTTGCAGCAGTTTCAATACCCTGTTACTGTTTTTCTGGCCCTGTTGTGAATTCCCAGAAATCTCACTCCACAGATATTCCAGCTGAAACTATTTGATAGTTATGTTTTAAAGTCAAACAATCTAAAAAAGTTGAAGAGGTATAAACATTTTCGAATTGACTACACAACCAATTGAAATTTCATACACACTTTGTCATAACAGAGCCACAGAGTCAGTGTTGGAAAGTGAGATATTACCTAATGGGGTCCAACGTGTTGGGAGATCTTTTTAATCTCAATGTTGGCACTGGAGTTTCCAACTCTGTGTAGTAGACAACTGG